CATTTTTTGGTTGCAGCCATCATTGTTGTTTGGCGGGCCGGGGCTGGGGATTCGAACCCGCCACCTTAGGTGTATGTGGCTGGCGCCTTAGCTGCTTGAGCCACAGGCGCCGAGCCACTAGTGTTTTTAAAAGAAGAAATAGAATAGAAAATCTCGGAGAAGACCACATATGGTAGATGTAAGTATTGTTTTAAGAAACATTAGTTCCATACACACATTAACACATCGTACATATGTACACACACACACTCACAGTGGTAATAATGAAAATATTCAGCAACCAGCTTGACATAGATACCAACTGGTTGAAATGGATGACAATAATAAATACCAGTTGTCTGAATACCTGTATAAAATGTATCTTTTATTGTGGATTGTAGTAAAAAGGTGATTGAAATCCATGGGTAGCTTAAGGCTTCTTGGGGTTCAGGATGGTGAGCACAAGTTTCCAATGACCTTTCCTCTGTTGTTGCCCTGGCTAAAGGATCATGTCCACGGCTCTTTCCTGGCCTCAGGGAGCCTTCTCTGAATCTAGGTCTGATCTTAAAGCAGAGAAATCCTCAGCATGGCAAGCTGGGATGTTAGACACCTGTTATTCTATTTGGCATCCATTTCCTGTCTCCCTGGCTTTGATAACTTGCCCTGTTCAGGCTTTGCAAGGTTCCACCAATAAAAGTTCCTGGTCCCCTGGTCTTCTAGGGTTTTCTATGTGGGTACTGAAGCTCAGAGCTTTATACAGCTTTGTCCCCTTTCCCCAACTGTCCACAGACAGGCAGTCTCCCTCCCAGAGAGGAGAGGCCGCCACAAAGAGCTGAGGAGAGGGACCGAACGTCAATGTCTGCGTTGTTTGGACTCCTGAAGCCAGTCTTGCATAGCTACTGACCCAGTACAGTTCTTTTGGTTTTTATTTTTAAAATAACTTTGTTTGGCTCGAGTTAATTTACTGGAAGGTAAAGAATTTGAGATTATCCCCATGGCTCTTTGGGGTGAGCAAGGGGCCCTCACTGCCAAAGCAACTGGTACTAATGTGGCTCAGACTCATTGAGTGGGAGAAGGAAGAGCCTCAGACCACCTGGTGCCAGTGAGTCTATGCAGCCGCCCTGCACGTAGGTAGTGTGGGCAGGATGGCAAGTCAGGGCATTTCCCTGCTATGTCCCCTCTGGGGACATCTCTGCTGCATGAACATATCTCCTCAACACGGAAGTTGAGGGGAACCCCCCTGGCCACTCTGTGAAAGTCCTTGTCATAGGCTACAATACTTGGAGAAACTTAATCACCTTCATGGGTGGAAGGCAAGGGGGCCACAGACTTGGCTGAGAGGTATGACTGACCACTTCTGTCCTCCAGGGTCCAGGGCCTAAGGGCACAGCCGAGCGTGGGAAGAGGCTACAGGTGAGTGCTGTCCTCTCCCTCCAGGCCTGTCTTCCTCCCAAGCTGGGATAATAGCCCCTCACCAGGGCCACCATGTGCTGGGAGGAAATAAAATGAGAATTGTGTGTTCTGAGCCCTGCCCCTGGTTCAGTGTATACATGGGGGTGAGGTAGGGGTGACCAGAAGTTGGGCACAATTGATTTCCCTCAGTCCTCACTGATCAAACAATTCCACGTTCACCCTCTACCCCTGGCTCATAGGCTAGGGTCTCGCTGCCCTGACTCCAGCACTGCCACCAGTAGCCCAGCTTTCCACGGAGAAGCCACCTCAAGTGGGGTTACTCTCATGACCCCTCAAGTTCCCTGGGACACTGATGCCCCAAGTCTCCACTCTGCATGCCTCTGTAGGCAGATACCCTCTCTTTGCTGTTCCATCCACATACTCTGCTCACTCTCACTCTGTACCCTGCTTGGAAGACCTGAGTCTCTGCCTGCCCCAACCCTAGTCCCTCTTGAGGCTTAGCAAAGAGCATGGCCCCTCCTGCCAGGCCCTGGAACTGTCCAGGCGTCCTGTGTAGGAGTTTAGAGCCTCCACCTCTGCACCTCCCCAAATTTCCTACTTTGGGTCCTTTTTCTAGAAAAGGCTTTGCTGATCTGGCTCGGCCTTTCAAACTCTCGGGCCACGAGCTTGTCCATCACTCTCCCCAGGTTACCCTGAGAGTTCCTTTAGGAATGAATTGAGTAATGGACAATTTCTACTATGTTGTTTTCCTCCCAAATTTTATTTTGGATTTCACAGACTGATAAAACTTCCGTAAGATTGCCAGACGCGGTGGCTCATGCCTGTAATCCTAGCACTCTGGGAGGCCGAGGCAGGTGGATTGCTTGAGCTCACTAGTTTGAGACCAGGCTGAGCAAAAGTGGGATCCTGTTTCTACTAAGAAATAGAAAAGCTAGGCAAGAGGATCGCTTGAGCCCAAGTTGTAGGTTTCTGTAGACTATGATGCCAGGGCTCTATCCAGGATGACAGCTTGAGACTCTGTCTCAAAAAAACAAAACAAACAAAAAGAAACCTTCCATAAGATTATGGGAACTGACAGAATTTGCATACATATATTTAATATATTGCCAAAATCACAACACAGGAAATGAAACAAAACTAGTTTATCATTACCATTATTTCCTAAAAGTGCACTTTAACATCAAAAAGTAGGAAGAATGTAATTTCAGAATAGAGAATCACTCTTTAAATTAAATATACTTTAACAAAAACACTATTATATTATCCTTATTTTTTCATTTTGTTGCAGCTCCGTGAGAACATTGTCATGGAAACCACCACTTGGCCCACCAGAAAGATGCAGGAAAAAAGAACATAGTAGAGAATGTCAGAGGGGTGGGGGTGAAGGGGCAGAGAATGAGGGCCCAGGTCTACTAGTGAAGAAAATTCAGACTGTGACTCCCGGAGGGAGTAATGATGGGAATCCCTTTACTAGGGACAAAGACTTCTGGCTGCCCAAAATAGTGTAGAACCCTGGTGGGAGCTTGGACTCCATAGCTAGAATGCCCTGGATTTACATCTGACTCCCCCATTTAGTCATGTTACTTGGACAAGTTTCTTGACCTTGAGCTTTCAAGTTCCTTGTCTATAACATAGAGATGAGAATTACACAGCAGAAACAGTAGTACACAGTAAATATTCCCGGAATTCCTTGAATTTCTCAGCCTCCCTTACAGAAGGTTGGGTTCATGTGACTAGTTCTGGCTGATGGTCTGTTTGGAAAAGGCAAGTGTCACCCGGTTTAGGCATTTAGGTGTCTGTGTACTTTCTCTTTCTCCTTCTTCACCTTCCATAGCAACCCTGGAGGCCAGTCTTCTAGACACAAGGCTACAAGGCAGAAGAAGGATCCCCCCCCCCAAAAAAAAAAGTCACTGGGAGATTTGGTATAGCACGGGCAGAAAAAGAATTAGTATCAGAAAGTAAGCTGTTTTTATTTCAGCACATAAGTTTTGGGTAGTTTTCTTTCTTTTTTTTTAAAAAGACAGGGTCTGGCTCTGTCACCCAGGCTGGCGCAACTCCTGGGCTCAAGATTATTCTGCCTCAACCTCCCCATTGACTGGGACCACAGGCCTGCACCACTGTGCCTAGCCAATTTTTCTGTTTTTTGTAGAGATAAGGTCTTGCTTATTGCTCAGGCTGGTCTTGCACTCCTGGACTCAAATGATCCTCCTTCCTCCAGCTTCCCAAAGTGCTAGAGTTATAAGGGATAAACAACTGCTCCAGGTCAGTTTTGTGTAGATTTTAAAAACAAAATTTTATTTCACAGTTTACAAGTTTTTATTTGGAGGCTAGTGCTGGTGTATGCACCTGTCATACCAGCTACTCCTGAGGTTGAGGCAGGATAGCTTGAACCCGGGAGTCTGAGACTGCAGTGAGCTGGGATGACCCTGTCTCTTAAAAAACAAAAACAAAAACAAAAACAAAAACGGTTTTGTTTGGAAGTAACACAGGAGGCGGCCCTGGGTCCCCTACAGATGTAGAATCCTGCCTGTTGGAGGCTAGAGAGCCCTTCCACTTTAAACCCTCCCAAGCTTGGGGCGCCTGGGGCAGCTGCAGAGGGCTGGGCTGCCGCCCTCGCCCTCGCTGTGGCCCTGGCTGTCTGAGCCTTGAACTGTTGCCTTCCTCCCCCTCCTCCACAAGCCCCCACCTTCCACGCTCCGGACGCCAGATCACGTGGCAGGAGAAGGGGGTTTCTCCCCGAGGCCCCTCTGGATGCCTACTCGACCTTCCATGGCCACAGTCTTTGTGCTCCTAGCGGGGGTCCTGCTCCCCTGCTGGGGCACGTTTCTGAAGGATAAAAAGGTGAGCCAAAAGAATACTTGCGAACCTTCTGCCCTGAGAGAGGAGTGGCAGACAGGGCATCCCAGGCAGTAGAGCCAAGGTGCCATCAGGGAGCTTAGGAGGGAGATGTGGGGACCGGAACCACCTCCAAACTGGCGATTTATGCCAGGGATTGTCCTAAACAGGCTTAAAAGGCCAAGTTACCTTCCCCTGGTGGCCTTAGAGGCCAGAGAAATTGGCTTAAGACCAGTACCCTCTGCACCCACCCTCCCACTTCCCCACCTCCCCTCCCCACTGTCTCAGCACTGGGCTCTCTTCTCCCCACTTCCCCACCTCCCCTCCCCACTGTCTCAGCACTGGGCTCTCTTCCAAACCCTCGCCACCTGCTCCAGTTTCTCTCCCTCTTCCTCCTCTTCTCCCCTCCCACTGCCTAATGACCCCTCTAGGCACTAGGACTCTTCCCTCCCCCTCTTTCCTTCTCTTTCTGTCCACTCTCCCTACTCAATAATGATCGAAAGTATTTGTGAACCCCCCCATCCCTCCTTTCTCCTATTCTCTGTTCCCTGAGTCCTGCAGGGGTGCAGTGGGGGATGGGACCTGGAGGTGACAATATCATGGTTTCTCTTCCTGGACTCTTGGGTTTTGGCAATCAGGGGAACCCTCCCCTCCTCATCCACGCAGCCAAAGTAGTGGCAAGTCAGGTATTGTCCCCAGCTTGACAGACAACCTGCCTGTCCCCACAGATAATCGGGGAGAAGTGCTTCAACCGCCTTGAGTGCTTCAGTAACTGCTGCCTCATGAACTTGGACTCCGGTAGAGCCTTCTGTGCTCCCAGGGCCAGAATCACTATGACATGTTTGCCCCAGGTGAGGTTCAGGTGGGGCAGCTCCTTGTGGCAAGTAGGGAAGGGGTGGGGGAGGTTAAAAAAACACACGGTCCCCGCTTGGCAAACTGGCAAACTCCTACTCATCCTGCAGTACAACTCCTCAGAGCTCCCAGGCACTGGGCTCATGCCCTCAGCAGAACATGTTTCTCCCTGATTTGTCATGCCTTCTGCCTGCCTCCCCCGTGATTAGGGCTCTCTAAGGGCAGGGATTTCATCCTATTCATCTATGAAGCCCCTGCCCCCAGCTTAGTGCCCATACATAATAGATGCTCAACAAATGCTTCTTGCATGAATGAATGTCTTCACCCTGTTCTCACTGAGGTAAGTGGGGAAAGACCTTCTTACTATCAATCCTCACTTGTCTGCTAAAATGGCCTAATTTCTTGAGAGGAGTATGGGACTGCAGTAGCAGGACCATCACTTTGGAGTTGGACCTGAGTTTCAATCCTGGGTATTCTGCTGTTTGTCTTTTTGAGTTCAGACGGGTCACCTGTGTTCTCTGCCTCATCTACAAAGTAAGGCAAACTGCCTACCCCACTAGGTTACTGGGAAAGAGTACCGGTCTTGGCAAAGATGGTGCTCAATCAAGCATTGCTATTTTCTACGTATTACTGGTAGAAATGCAGAGAACAGAAGGCTTAGTACCTCTTGTTCCTGCTCATCTGCCCTGGGCCCAAACTTTCTAAGGAGGATGGGCCCAGCCTCTGCGTTCCTATCTGGGGAGCTGCCAAAGCCCTAGAGAATCAGCAGGGCCCCTGCCATGGCCAACCCTACAGCTGAAGTGGCTAGAGGGGCGTTCTTATCTGTGCTTGACTTTATCTCATTTAGTCCTCACAGCAACCTGTGAGGTATGCCTCTCTTACTGTCCCCCTTTGACAGACGAGAAACTGAGCGGGAGAGGCTCATTAACTTGCCTAAGGTCATGCAATATAAAGCCATACAGCCACAGACCCAGGTCCTCTCCAGCACTGGCGCTTTTGCTCCTGATCAACAAGTTCAAGCCCCCTTCCTTCCTGCATACTGGTGACTCATGACTCTCATCCCCACTTGCCACAGACTAAGGGAGCCACCAACATCATCTGTCCGTGCCTAATGGGCTTGAATTGCATATCCAGAGACCCGATGTGTCCCCGTCGGTGCTATATGTTTTAGAGGAGGACACAGACTGGTCACTGCTGCCTCTTCCTTCCTTGGGTCCAGAAGCCCTTGACACCCCCAGCTTCCTCCAAATCCAGCTCCTGAGACATTAAAATCACTTCTTGGTTCTAGCCTCTGTCTGCACTTTCTGGGAGCTGGGCTGTCATGGGGATTGTCAGTCTGGGGGGCAGGCAGAAGGAGAGCCTGGAGATGTGAAAGAGCTTTTCCTGGAGTTTGGCCCTGTGGGAGCTCAGGGAAGGGGTATGGGGGGAGAAGGGGTTTGGTCCAGGAAAAAGGCCAAATCTCAGGGTGTGGGACTTCATGGGAGGGGCAGGGTTGACCTGGCCTAGAGAGGCTGGGTGTGGTGAAGGACTCAGAGGGGCTATCTGAATGATTTGTGGGAGCAGTGGGGGGAGAGCATTAGGAGAGAGAGAATGTATGTAGAAGGATAAATGCAAAACTCTGCCAGTGGTGGGAAAGGGGCTGGGGGTGGATGAAGAACTGAGGCTCAGAGGAGCTATGTGACTTGCCCCAGGTCACATTGTTGGGGTATCGGTGGGACTCTTTCTGCTTTAAGTATATAAATTGTCAATCCCCTAGATGATGAGGAGATATATTGGTGACCAGAAATGGAAGTCCAGAGGCTGGGCTGGCTCAGTTCCTTCCCAGTTACCATAAAAGTTCCAAGTGTCATCTAGTAATAGCTGAGATTTATTGCCCACTTCCTGTGGTCCAGACACTACTTCCTTAACTATCTTAACTCATCCTATTGTCACCACGGGTTGCAGCAGATATTATATTTATCCCTATTTTATAGGTAGAGTGTCGAGGCTTCCAGAGTAAGGGGTGAAGTTGGGACTGAAAGCCAGGCAGTCTTGCTCTGCTGGCCACTCTTAGCCACACATCCTCCTGCCTCCCTACCATGCCTTATAGTGAGAGAAAACATCTCTGTTCCAGAATTTCTCAGCAAATATCCCAAGATTGGTTTTGATTGGATTGGCTTAGTCTGCCTGAACTAATCATAGGGAATTTGCCGATTGCCCTAGCCTGGGGTATGTGCAGGATGGGAAAACTCTGGGGGTGGGTAGGTGCATGTTTTACTTGGTGTTCCCACAGTCTAGAGGGCACCAACACTTTCAGGACTTGCACCTCCACCTCCTTTCCTGGTCAAATCCTGCTGATGAGGTCTGGCCTCCAAGCTCTCGTGTCTGAACCCACTCTGCTGGGTCACATTGAGAGATCAAAGACCGAAATAAAACTCATTCTGAAACTTGAACTGAAAGGAAAACAGAATCCAGGTTCTGTATGGGCAACATCGGCTTTTATTTCCACCCCGGTGAGGGTGAGCTGAGTTGAGGAGGAAGTCAGCACGTGGGTAATGGTGGATGGGGAGGTTTAAAGTCGGAAGATCAGGAGTTGGTACATTCTCTTTCCTGGGTTGGGACATCTGTCGGAAGGGTGGGGGTTGGCCTATTCATCTTTCCTAGGTGGGACATCGGATTTGGGCAGGTTGATTCTATTTGGGCGGGTCCCTCCATTTGGCTCCATCACACACTGATATCCTAAGATTGCACCTCACCTTATTTTAGGCTGCCTTGCTTTGGACTCGCTTACCACCTCTCAGTGTAGCTCAGAGATCCTTTGTCTCACACAGAAATTAGAACTCACTTGTTCTGTTGTTATGGTGGAAAGCTCAGTAGGTGCACCATGTAGGAGGATCCAAGAATTTCTTTAGACCAAGATTAGGATATAAAAATATAAAGTTTATTTTATCTTCTTGAGAGGAGAGAGGGAAAGAGACAGAGACAGAAAAGAGAACAGACTGATGGCCTGGCATCCCAAAGAAAGAAAGGAAGACTGCTTGAGGTCAAGCCACAAGGTGAGTTTGGGGGGGCGGGGGTGGGGGAGGCAAAGAAAAAAGGTAATTGCAGCCAGAAGCACAGGGTGTTGTGCAACTGGTCCATCTACTTTTCCTACTACAGGATGACAAGCAGCTGTCTTTGCTGTTGGGGACAGACATCACAGATGTTTCAGATTCTGTTGTTGATGTTACCCTGAAATATCATTTTTGCCAGTGCCCGAGGCCTGATGCTTAGCTTATACTCTGTTGTTTCAGGGATGACTCAAGAACCCTTGAGACTTTAGGAACAAATTCTTTTTTTTTTTTTTTTTGA